TTTTACATGACGTCTCCCTTTTTTTGTTTTATTTTCATGTTTGTTGTCAGTGCGCGGGTTTTTTCTTAGCCAAAATGGTTTTTAACCCAAATTGCAGCAATTTTCATGCACTGCACTCAAATCCGCTTAGCAACAATTTGCCCACACGAATGCCACGTTAAGTTACACCGCCCCCTCCCCGCATCCCGATCTCCTGGCCATAATTGAATTAATCCTTGGGCAGTGCTCACAGTGCTCACTGTGAAAGCCAAAAGGCTGGCTTAATTGCACAGCTTAGGCGAAAATCTGCAAAATATTAACTAAACTCCGCGGACGCCCCAAGAAGTGTGCTACAACAAAAACAATAAGGGAAGAAGAACATGTCGGGCTGGGGATTCGTGTGCATTCAATCGCCAGACAAAGCAGTACTTATCGCCCCACCGGGGATGGCAAGTAATTGCATAAGGGGCAAAAAACAGCCAACGATTTGGGTTAAAATAAATTGCATGTTTCATTTACGGCAGTCCTGCCGATGGCGCATGCAATCGCCAGGAAGTCAGGCCAAGTCCGCCATCTAGGCACGTGGATTTGCGTGCCCGGTAGGTAGTAGTCCACCCAGTCCACCCACTCTCATTACAACCCCACACCAGCCAACACCACCCACTGCCTCCTGCAGCGTTAGTTGTTTTGCATAATTAATGCCATCATAGGCAGAGGTAATTGCATATAACCCGTTGCCCACGTCGTTGGCTGGTCGTTTGCCGATGTCCTGCCGCAATGTGGCCGTAATGACGGTATCAGCCATACCACCGCAATAGGCCAGCAATTCCACCAGCCATTCCATTGGCCAGCCAGCACCTCCCTGCACCACCCTGCACCACCCTGCACCACCCTGCAACACCCAGCACCACCACGTCAACATCAGTGGCAAACTGTGGGCACTGGCAATTGATTTTGATTTTGATTCATTGGGCCAGGCACGGAAACGGTGTGGAATTAATTTTAAATATTTAAGGAGCGACAAGCGACGCATCGTTTAAGCAGACATTAAGTTAATAAAACTCCAAGGACGCGCCCACCAGCAGCTCGTCCTCGTTTTCGTTCTCGTCCTGGTGGCTTAATTATGCAGCTGCCAGGTCTACGACAAGGATGGGAGTCCTGTCGAGAGTGTGAGGATGTGCATGTGTGCCCCACGGCTGAAGAATTTATGAAATTTTTATGGCCCGCACTTAGCATCACCTGAAGGCAGATGGCGGGCACACGGAAACAAACAACGCAGCAATATCGGTTGTCTTTTAATAATAATATTGCACTTTTATTGATTAGTCGCATACAATTATTTGAAACAAAAAGGTATGAGAGATGAACCAAACTCAGATGTATTACAAGCTTAATTGCAAATAAGTATGGTCTTGAATTTTAAATTGCAACTTTAAATGGCTTAAATTGGTTGCAGTGCAGAGGATCCTGGGGCTCAGACTCCCCGATCCTGCTGACACCCTCCTCCGAATCATAAAGGGAAATAAGGGCAGCGCAGTGTCAGCGCATCGCCCAGTAAATCAAAGGAATGCCAATCGCAATCGTTACACAGGCTGTCAGAGTCTGCTTAGGCATACCCAAGGCATCAAATTTCCCAGCTCGGACCCGAAAAAATACCAGACATGACATGGACATGAAAAGGTGGTCGGAACGAGGCTAAAGACCCCAAGCATGTAGTGTGGAAGGATCGATAGTTTGGGAAAAAAGAGGAAAAAACAGGCAACGGACTTCAGGCAACATGCCGTGGGATATTTGGTCAATAAGCTCGTAGATTAGAAAAAGATATAACTTGAAAATAAGTAAATATTTTTTATTTTGTGGATCAAACATTTAATGCATAATATCATTGGTATAATTTAACAAATGTTTTGAATGTAGTTATTTTTTTTTTCTATACTCTTTACAAATAAATACAGGTATTCAATTTTTATAAAAAAGGTGGCTTATTTATTTATTTATAATAAATGATAGAACTAAAGCTAACATAAAAGGGCATGGTACTTGCTACGGGGCCTTCGACTATGTTTGTTTAAAGATGGTTAGAATTATTTGTTATATATATGTTTTTAGGTTTTAAATTGGTTTGTATATATTTGTTTCTTTTAGGAATAAAAAAGTAGCTACTTACGTGCATACTTACATTTTTTCATGAAACTTAAAGCCTCACAGATATGTATGACTACTTAAATATATAAGATACTTAAAGTGAAAATTGAAATGTTTATTTTTTCCCGCCCACTGTGCGACAGCTTGATGTTGACGGAAAGAGCAACAAAGATAGATGAAGAGACAGATAGATGGCTTTTCCCAGCATTTTCAACTTGCCTCCGCATTTCAGTTCACCCCTTTGCTCTCTTAAATGTCAATCCCGTCATTCCTTGGGGCATGAGGAAAACAAAATCTTTATAGAATTTCAGAAGGGACGACATCCCCGATTCCGCAGGTACTTCTGAGCTCTTTGCTCCTTTGAGCTGTTTAGAATTTATTTAGATTGCTAGTTAAATTTACAATGTAAATAATACTTTTTATTCATTTAATAAAAAAATCCTAGAGCTGGAAGAGCTAAAGTCACGGGTCACAAAAAGAGTAAATTAATTAAGTGTAGAGGTAAAAGATATCTTAGCTTAAGAGCTTAATTTAGAAGGGGAGAAAAAGATAATGATAAAAGACTTTGGTTAATTGGCATAGATGGCATAACAAAAAGGCTTTGAATAGTCTTAAATTCGATAAAGTATATTACTTAAAGTAAACAAGGTGAGCCATTTTTAGTCTAGATTTTATTGTGACAGCATTTCTCTGACAAGGGAATATCTTGATCCAACATCCCACGGGGAAGCAGTGAAAATGTTTGCCCATCTAGCCGTGTTCGTGTCGTGTGAAGCCTCAAAGAAAATGTTGCACTGGTCCTGGTCCTGGGATATCCTCATCCGGATACGGATAGGACTCTGGGTGTCGTTGCTGGTGTTATAACTTGTTAGCTGTTGTGTAGATTTCGGCCACGAAGGACCAGACTCCACTCCTCCAAATTCTAAATTCCATGGAAGCGTTCTGCGCACACGAAGTCCCCCTGCCTCAGCTCCTTGCCCTTTTGCCAGCTCACTTGTGTGGTATTCCTGAAAACGAAAACATATTTTCCATGCGAGTGCACAAAGGGATGCGAGACGCACGGCAACAACAGCTCGAACAGAAGTCGGCTCACATATCTCACTGCTCGCTTCGGTTATTCCCACTTCTACATATGTGTGACACAGACAAAAAATATTCACAGTTTTCCCCATCTTTGCTATTTATTTTGCATTAGAGGCAATATAATTTCAATGTATTACATTTGTACATTTATTAAAGTATAGTTTTCTGACCAGAAAGTACTTCCACTTGGCCTAAATGTTGCATTGGCCATGTTGTTAAAGAACTTGGAAAACAAGACTTCATTCCCCTGCGTTCAAGTTATAAAATGATCAAAACCAGAATCTTTACATTCTTATCACTACATTTTTTTTTGAGCTTTTTTATTTTATAATTACATATTTTGATTTTATATTCCAAGCAAGGCAAGCATTTAACTCAGCTTTGCCGTTTTTTCCTCTGTATATTTTCTACGCTTCTCTGACTTTTTTCTCGTCTTGCTTCTGGCTTCTTCTGCTGTTGTTGTTAATCCTTTTCGAAATTTTGAGTTTGATTGTTGGGAAAATATTTTAGGCCCCAGGCAGCAACACACACTGCACACCGCACGCATTAGCATAACTTGTGGGTTGAGTTTTGGGTGGATGGTGGGTTGGAATGCCAGTGTGGTGGTCCCAAAAGGGGATATGTGCTGCAGCTTTAAGCAGTTTAAGCAGTTTAAGAAAAACCTTTTTGCGAGTGGCCGGCTGATTGCTGTGTTATAGGGGAAACAATTTTATAGAACATTGAACTTTAAGGGTTGTTATACCTAAATAATTGTGACATATTTATGAAAACTAGTATATGGATTACATTACTTTGATATATTTATTAAATGTACGCAGTAGCGCTCTGTTTCTTGATGAAACCAAAGTTTTCGTACAGGAATATAGTGTCTTATAAAGTGACACAGTCATTTTTTTACCTAATTTGATTTTGCTAAAATAAATGCATTTTTATACAACATGTTAAAAACAAGTAGGTTCACGCAATAGGCACATTATATATTTTAAAAAACAGGGTTATTCCAGGGTTATTTAGACAATTCCTTAATTCATTACATTTCAGTGTACCTTAACAATCGTTTTCATTAAATTGCCAACTCAGAGGCGATTAAAAAACCTAAAATACGCAAAACGAAGCCAATTAAAATTCTATTCAATTGATTTTTCAATGCTTCACATTGGCATCCACGCCAATAAAAAGCCGCATCTTTCCTGTATTTGCATATTACCTAGCCGGCAAAAAAAGGAGCAATCAAAATTCGGAATCTCTTTACATGTTACTGGTTTTGTTTCCCAGCGACTTTCCCAAGTTCCACCTGCTGTCCACACCCGAAAAAGCCACCAGGGCTGCTCATTTGCATGCCACATGGCAAAAAGCTCGTAGCGAATGCAAATTGAATCCAACTTAAACGCACGGCCATCGCAGGCGAGCATTTTAAAATTTAAATTCAACAAACCGACGGCAATCGCTCAATGACATTGATTGGCTGCTGCACGAGTGTTTCGCATTTCGCTTTCCGAGGAGGGGCATGCTGGGTGGACAATTAAATATTTGCCTGTCTTACGGCTGCCATTTGTTTGCCCCAGCCATATTCCCCCATGAAACGTGACCCAGACGACCGAGCGGCGACTGCGAAGGCGACAGAACTCGTTACTGTCACGCCCTGTTGCCGCTGGAACATGACAAAGGTTGACATTGCGCCTGCATTTATTAAAACAACTGCCAGCAGGATGTGAAGCGTGTATACAAATGGGGGGAGGACTTTAAGTGGCTTATTAAGCGTTTTTCTAAATCACTCCATTTTCCACTTTCAGTTTATTGGCAACAATAATGGTCAGCACAACATTGACAACACTGACTGCTGGACAAACAACTAGTAGCAGTAATCACCATCACCACCACCACAATCACCACCAGCAGCAGCAGCAGCAGCAGGATCAGGCGCAGCAGCAGCAGCAGTCGCATCAACAGTTGCCCTACCAGCGACTGCAACCACACGCCGCAGCAGCATCAGCGGTCAGCCAGCAACGCGGCTTCTACGCTCTGAACGGCAGCCTTGAGATAGACTGCGACAGCAGCAACAGCAACTACCAGCAGCAGCAGCAGCAGCAACAGCAACCGCCGCTGATTCTGTCGCAGGCTCTGCTCTCGCCTTCGCCGCCGCTCAACGATCAGATCAGCTTGCTATTCCCCAAGTGCCGACCCAAGCAGCAGCCGCAGCAGCAACATCAGGCGACACAGCAGCAACATGCACTCCTGGCGGACGTGAATACCAACAGCAACAGCAACAGCAGCAGCAGCAGCAGTCCCACATCGGCAGCAGTTGCTGGGGAGCCGCTGGCCAGCGTCAGCGTTAGTCCGCAGCCCAAGGCCACGCCCACACCAACGCCCACCAGCACGTCCAGCTACTACAAGAGTGTGAACATTATAACGCAATCGCCGCCACCGCACTCGGCCTCCTCGCACTCCTCCGAATCGCTGTCCTCGGTGACGCCGCGCATTTCCACAAATCCCTTCCTGTGCGCCCCGCTCACGCCGCCCACACCGCCGCACCACCACCACCAGCAACAGCAGCAGCAGCAGCAGCAACACCACCACCAGCAGCAGCAACAGGACCTGGAGGAGGAGCAGGACACGACGGGCGAGTCAGCTGTGGAGCGGAGCAGGAGCGGAGCGGTCGGCGAGGAGCCCGACTATCCCGCCTCCTTTTACTATCACACGGTGGGCGACAGTAGGCGTGGCAACGGCTGCTACGCTGAAATGCCGCGTAAACGTAGCGGTGCGTTGCCCGCCAGCAACAGGCAGCAACAACAACTGCACAACGGCAATGGCAGTCAGAATCCGTTTATCAAGGAGAACTACTGGGAGGCGCCGCCCACAAGAGCCAGCCTGCTGCTCCATTCGCCCACAGAGTATGCCGAGGAGCAGCAGCAACAGCAACAACATCAGCAGCAACCGCAACAGCATCAACAGCAACAACATCAGCAGCAACAGCAGCTGCAAACTCAGCAACAAAATCAGCAGCAACATCAGCAGACACAGCAGCATCAGCAACATACGCAGCAGCAACTGCAACAGACACAGCAGCATACACAACAGCAACATCATCAGCAGCAGCAACATCTGCATGCCTCAGCCAGACGAGCTTACCACCAGCAGCGGGAACAGGTGTACGGCATCAGTCAACGACCGCAGCAGCAGCAGCAACAGCAACACATATTGCGGGTGGGACGTAGTCCGGTAAATCGCAGCTTTCCCCAGCAGCAACAGCAACAACAGCAACAGCAGCAGCAGCAACAGATTTCAGTCGCCAGGAGCAATCCCTGCGCCGATGGGCTGACTCCGCTGGCCAGTCACTACCTTTATGGCAGCAAGTCCTCGCTGGATCAGCATCCTGGCGACTGGGAGCCGCGGGAGCAGCGCAAATTGAGGCTGCGCGAGGAGCGGGAAAGGGAGAGAGAAAGAGAAAGGGAGAGGGAGCGCGAACGAGAGCACCTGTTGCTGGAGCAGCAGCAGCAGTTGCAACTGCAGGAGGTGCAGGCGGCCAGGGACAACCACCTCAGCCATTTGGCGGGTCAGCAGCAGCAACAGCAGCAGCGCAAGCGACTTGTTTACGGCGAGGAGCGGGATCGGGAGCGGGAAATGGAGCGCGATCATCGCCTGGTTAATGGAAACGCGGATCCCAACGAGAGCTGGCAGCGTAAGTTGATAAATAGGAACGAAAGCTAACTTCGGCAAGCCGATGTTTTAATACCCTTGCATTCACACCGAAGATTTATGACAGCCTGCACTTGTATATTGTATTGAACTGTATATATGATAGCCATAGGTTATAGTCAACTCAAGGAAAGGATACAAAATTATATAAAACCATTAAATATAGGATAAAGTCATTCGATTTTTATAAAAATAAAGGTATTGATTCAGTAATGGTAAAAATAAACATTATATACGACAGAAACTGGGAGATATAAACAAATTTCTTCAAAAACAACTATTTTAACAAATTTGATCCGATTGTTTATATTTCAATCTTGATCTACACACACATATAAAACACGGTTGCGAATTTTTCAAGCCCTTCAAAATTCACTTTGCCGAACTTCCGCTGTCGTTTATTATTATTGACATGCTCATATAACTGTTCGAATAATGTTGGTGATGGGCTTAAATTCTGGAAAACAGAAAACATTTTCCCAACTTTGAAAAGTACCCTTACTTCATTCAAAGTTTTTGGTTATAAGATGTCGAGGGCCGGATATTTAATTAAATAACTTTGTGAATTCTTCGTTTTATAAACTGTCTTGAAATTCGAAATAATACATACATACCTTGATTTAAAGTTGATTTTTCATTGACAGTTTTTGGTTAAATTTAATAAGATTTCATTCAATTTTTCTTAAAGTACCAATCGAAATATCTGTAGGTGGAAATCTTCGGGCTAAAATTGAATATTGAAATGTGAGCGTATAGATACTCAATATAAATGTGAGTTAGAGCAAATAGTATTTATATTTCTTAGGCATGCCTTCGAAGAGCAAACATTTTACAAATGTGCGAGACAGTGTAGCAGCAGCATCCTTGGTTGAACTGCATTTGCCGAGTACACAAACCCTTTTTCCGGGTAAACCCCAGTCGGAGTGTTGCTTCTGTCCGAGCAGCAACCTCTGTGGTTGCACGTGCCTGCAGCAATTTGTGGCTTCGAGGGCGCCCACTTCACAGGGTGGAGCGTTTTGGGGCGAGTCGGCCTGCGAAACCAATTTCCGACTGGCTGAATGCCGGACTGATAGACATGGGCCGGGTAATTGAATTGCAAATCATGCGTAATGAAGTGTACTGCAAATTTGTATGAAACGGGAATTCGGGGAGCGAGCTACGAACAAAGCGTAGGAAGCGCGCCAAAGTGGAATTTAATTGATTGCAATTAATTGGCATGCCAAGCAGTCGGACCGATATTATCCGTACCCCCAAATCCTGGCTGAGACCCTTGTCATTGCCACTGGCCCTCATCGAAGCTATATTTTCCATCTCCTCCCCATTTCACCATCCAGATCTGCGCGTCACGACCGAAACTGTGGCGGAGGAGGGTGGCAAGCCCGGCAAGCCGACGGATAAGGATAAGGCCCAACACCAGCAGATGCAGATGCAGATGCAGATGCAGAATCTGAACCAGGGCCAGAACCTGGAGGTCAACGTCTACAGGGAGCACAAGCTGGACGCCTGGAAGCTCGAGCGCAACTACACGCTGGCCGTGGAGTCGCGCCACGGCATCATTGGTAAATAATACACTCAGTAACAAAACAAACCCAAGGGAACAGCCTTACATTCTTACCTTAAAACAATTGTACTTAGGATAATAATAAGTTAATTTAAAACTATTTGATATTAATACCACAAAGAGTATAGGTTCTCGTTGCCATTCCCTAAATAAATAAAGAAACGCAGTTTCAAACTGGAGCGTGGCCATGTTTTCAACTAGTTTGAAATTCTGAACAAAATGTATCATTCAAAATAATAAGTGCTATTATTAAACTTTAAGATTCCTTTTTACTACTTGTTTCATGTGCTTTCATCAGTTTGATAGCCACTTTATTGGATACATTGCCTTTTCCGCTTGAACTATTTTTTCGTATAAAAAAGAATGCCAAACTCTGTGCCACTCATAATATATTTTTAAAAAAATACACATTTTTTTGTATAAAAAGCCAAGCCTTTGTCGGCCCATATAGGTAGGCAACATATTTTTGAACTCACAGTCGGGCACTCGACTGTAATTTTTTTGTTCAGATTCACTCGATCCACTTGAACTCGAATGTAAATCAATTTAATCCACAGAGTACGAAGGTTCACCCCGACGCATCGGCGTTGCCACCAGCAATTTGGGGGCAGTGACGGCCGCAGCAGCAGTGGCAGCAACAGCAACAGCAGGAGCGGACGAAAGCGAACCACCAGCAACGGCAGACGTAGCAGCAACACCACAACAGCAGCAGCAGCAGTTGCCCATGGCCGCCGTTCCACCGCTGAGCTCCACGGCCACCTCGCTGCAAAAGACGGCGGCACGGGCGGCACTCGCCGCCCTCGCCCAGACCCATCCCCACAACTCCCACAACATACTCAGCTCCCTGATACCCCACACCCCCATACCCAACCCCAGTCCCAACCCACTGAATCCCGGCCAGATCCACTCGCAGGCGCAGCAGTCCTTGCAGAACTATCCCGTTCGTCCGGGCTTTCCACAGGTGGGTGTGATTTCAAATACTTAAGGGGACCCCCCCATTCTCGATTTCAAATTTTGACGATTTTCAATGGGCTGGTAAATGTGCATATATTATTTTCCAGGCTTGTAACTTTGCATCCATTTATTTGAAGTCTTAAAAAATAAGAAAAAAATGTAACATATATTTTTTTTTTCATTGAACAAAAGCCTTTTTTTCGGCGGCGCATGTGATTTCCGCTCACTGGAACATCTGAAACCTAAAATTCCAACGGGATTAGGAAGAGTACATGTTTGGCTTTAGCATGAACTAGGATTAATTTTGCACAAAAATTAACAATATGGCGGACCTTTTTTTTTTTAGAAAATCGACATCTTCACCGAATTGATTTATCCTAGTTCATGCCACAGCTATATATGTATAGAAAACCGTTTTCAAATTTGTAACCTCATGCGCCAGTCGTAAAAATACTGTTTCGAGAAAAACGCATTTAAAGTTTTGAGAAGCTCTCGCCGTCGCCTGACGCTTCCACCATAAATCGGATATGTCTTCAAAAGTTTTTGAAATAATCACTTGAAATTTTAAAGGAACATTCTTGAAAAGTTATAGCTTCGAATTAAATAAAAAACAAAAAATATATTTTTTGAAACCGAGAATGGGGGACTCCCCTTAAATGATTTTCATTATGGTTTTTCATACATTCATGAAATACTGCTTTGAAGGTATAAATAATATGACGATATTTTATTAAGCGATATATATAAAAGCTATCGTTTGGAAGTCATATATTAGTAATATTTTAAAATTAAACAAATGCATATATTTTACCTTACTGTCTCATTTAATTTCAGCGCATCATTTCGCCGCCCAATCGTGAGCCCTGCAGCAGCTCCCCTCCTCTGCAGCAGCAGCAACTGCAGCAGCAACATCAGCAACTGCAGCAACTACAACAGCAGCAGCAGCAGCAACAACACTTTGCCAGTCTGATGAGCAACCACAGCAACAACAACTCCAACACCAACAAACAACCGCTGAGCAGCGACAACAATGCGGAGGACACCAGCAACGATGTGTCCGAGATTGGCACCATATCCGACCTGACCACTCCGGAGGCAGTGGGTCTGGCCATTGGAGCCGCCGGCGAGGTTTCCAGCCGTGCGGCCACGCCCCTCCAAGCCCCGACAGCCGCGTCCACGGCACTAGCACCACCGATAGCACCACTAGCATCAGCAGCAGCAGCAGCGGCAGCGGGCAGCACTGCCAATGGAATCGGAATCGGAACAGGAACCGGAACCGGAACAGGATCAGGAAATGGAACAGCAGCGGGCACCGGACTAGGTCCACTGAGCCTGCACACGAAATCGTCGACCTTCGATTACCTCTACGAGTTCTCGGAGACGCGCAAGGTGCTCGAGGAGTTCTTCAAGTGCCCCTCCACCGACGAACAGCCCATCATGGAAAACGGCAGCGATGTGGACAGCATTGTAAGTAGAAAAAGTTCATATTTTTAATGATTTTACATATCGTCCGAGCCACATACCAAAAAACGTTACATTCAAAATTTAAAATTGATATCGAAATATTAAAATTAATTTATTAAAAAAGATATACAAATTCATTCTGTTTATAATTTATTGTTGATCCCAATTGTTGCCCATGGAATTTGAATTTATGTTATGTTTCAGAACATTACTATTGACCTAAATATTGGGAATAATGTTAAATGAAGATGCCTCTACTAACCGAAAATGAAAATAATTATTCCTATCATTTTAATACAGTAAAACTTGTTCAACTGGAACTGACCCAAACTAAACTAATTCCAACTTATTTTCGTGGCTCGAACTATAGAAGTTGAATATTAATTTATAAATTTAAAAAAACATCCTTTTTACAAAAAGCTATTGAGTCAGTACAGGAAATTAAATTGTCATATTCAAAATAATAATAAAATAAAAGGCACAAAACAAAAAAAAATAAAAATTCGTTTACTGCTCTTTTAATTGCTTAAAAATGTTGCTAAAAGTATAAACTTATTACCTTTATCCTGCAGGACATCCAGTACGAGTTCCACAGCAACTTCGAGCGCGACGATGAGGATTTGGCCGAGGATGAGGAGGCGGAGGACGACGAGGACGATGCCGACGAGGAGAACGACGAGGCCGAGGATGAGGACGAGCCGTTGGATCAGGATCGCGAGCAGAACTACCGCCAGCAGGCGGCTCCCACCTCCGGCCACGCCCCCGAGCGCCACGTTTACGGGGGCTACGGCCAGCAGTCGCAGCCCTCAGCTGACCGCCCAGCCGCTGGGCGTGGCCGTGGGCGTCGGTGTCGGCATGGGCGTGGCCCGGCGACACTACAGCGGCAGTCCGCTGATGCGGGACTTCGACTTCTTCCTGGACTCCACCAGCCGGAGCAGCGGCGAGCGGGACGGCGACCAGGACGGGCTCAATCACAACCAGCTGCTGAGCACGGGTAGCGGCCATGGTGGGGGAGGGGGCGGGGGCGTGGGCCCGGGGGCGGACACAACTACCGCTACTCGCCGGAGACCACCGACTACGACTCCAACTGTGGCGATCTCGACAGTAAGTGACTACTATTTGCTTACCAATTATATTGAAAATCAAGTTCTGGTTCACATATGCATATGTAAATATGTATATATGTATATATATGCATAAAAGCGGTTCAAATTTGTATACAAATATGAAGGCTCCACTCTCAACCAATTATACATATTTTCATCGACAAAAATTAAAATTAAAGTACATCAGCAGTATTAACCTGTCTATTAAACAATGTTTCTCAAGTCCTTAATATTTATACTGTTAATTTGTTATAAAATTTGTCAATCACTTCTGTTATGTTTTCACGTTATTTGGTCTTTATTATTCCCAATGTCTTATAAGTTATAACCATTTAGTTGGTTGATTGACGTTAATTAAATCTATATGTTAAACCAAAAAAAAAATAAATAAAGCAATCTAATATCGACTTATAAATGAACTCTTAAAGAAGGTTAATGCATTATTCAAACTTTTCTTGATATAAGGCGGCTATTTTCATTGATTTTGATTTTGAACTTTTATTTATGTTGTCCCGATGAGGCAATTTGTTTGAATATTTTCATTTCATTTGAAATATTTTTATAGACAAAAAAAGCCTTGCTGAAAACACTTTTTTTTTAAAATTTGCAGTTAATTTTGTTTTCCATTTAAAAGATTTTGCATAAATAAGTTAACGATTGCGCTCAATTTACTAATCAACTACGATATCCTGCGCAGGTCTGTCGGGTGAGATGAACGGCGGAGTGTCGACCTCCTGCTCGAACTATGCCAAGTACTATGCCTCGGCCATGCCGGTCCTGGAGGATGGCCTCTCCTCGGGTCACACCAGCGACACCGAGAACAACAACAACAAGAACCTGCAGCAGGCGGTGGTGGGTGGTGGCCTGGGGGCCACCCAAGGTCAGTGCCCCACCAGCCTGAGCGGCAGCAACAGTATCGGCGGCAGCGGCGGCATCTCCATGCTGATGGACATGAAGCGCATCTCGACGAACAACAGCCTGAACAGCATGCACAACCTGACCACCACGACCTCCACCACGGATAGCAATGGGGGCGTGGCTGTGGGCGTGGGCGTGGGCGTAGTGGGTCACCACCTGACCGCCACGCCCAGTCCCAGCAATGGGCAACCGAAGACGCCGGGTCAGCCGAAGACACTGTCACTGGACCAGAGTCCCAGCAACCACAGCAAAGTGTTCAAGAACATCGATCCGGAGTTGGATTCGCTCTACTCGATTGGTAGGTAACAGCGTCCAGAGGTCGTCCCCTGAGTCCTTTGGGGGTCACATGGGTCGCAGGAGGCATTCACAAATGTATGCCCTAGACATCACAGCTCGTCGAAATGTTATCTTAAAATTAAATTGCCCAAGTTCAATTCCGTTTGTAGACGCACAAGAAGGAAACAAAACAATATTAGCCATTTTTTTTGTTAGTCTAGCTGTTACAATTAAAACAGAACAATATTATAAACAAACTTAGCTCGGCTTTCTAGGCCATTAAACCAAAAAAGGAAATCATAGTTCTAAGTACCGATTTCGGTAATTTGTCAGAGAAAGTTAACTTGAAAGTCTTTTTGCTCGGAAACGTAAATTCATGTTCTTAAAATGTAGTTAATTCTTTAAACGACAGGTTTACTATTTAGCAGCTAGTACAATTGTGATGAAAATTAAAAACGTAGTTTCATAAAAATATATTATTTTTTTTATTTGTTAAAGGGGTTATGTTTCTTAAACTAGTTTTCTGCTACCTGTCCCATAGGACATCTAATTTTAATCTAATTATACATAATAAAAAAATATTAAAACCAACCATCATCTCGAGTTTAGAAACCAAATTATGTAAAGTATAGAGTCATATATAGGTTAAAAAATCGAAGTCATAAAATACAGCAAAAATTAAATGTTACCAAAACGGCATTGAGAAATCGGCCTTATAAAATGTTTCCACTTTTTAACTATCCATGGGAAATGAAAAATCAAAACCCACATGGCTTATGTATAATATATAAAATATGTTTCTGTGTGCTTCTTCCAGGTGTTTTCCACCGCCCGGACACGGTGCAGATGACGCCACCGCCGCCCGCTCCGGCGCCGCATCGCAAGCCCAACAACAATGCCGCCAATGGCAGCAATGGCAACGCGTGCGGCGGCAACAACGACGTGGATCTGCTGCAGCCGAGCAGCAAGCACACTCCATTGGCGGCGGCCATCAGTTCCACGCTGCAGCGCAGTTCCCCCACCGCGACGGTCACCGGAAATGGATGCGGAAACGGAAGCGGCAACGGAAACGGCAGTGGCAAGCCAAGGAGCGCCGGCAGCAACGGCAGCAGCAGCGGCAACGGAGGGGGCGTGCCACCGCCCATTCCGGAGAGGACCAACCTCGTATCGGCCACACAGCGATCGCCATCGCCGGACCTGAACTCACCCGTTTGGCTGTCCCGCCATTTGGATGGCGGCGCTGGCAAGGATCTCCTCGAATCCGGCTCCGATAACCACTCAAAGAACCACAGCGGCGACGAGGAGGATGTGGACACCGATCTGGAGACGGACCGCCTGCTGGGCCACCAGCGGCTGGACGACCAGGGCTACTACGATGAGAACAAGAGCTGGGACCGCAAGCCGCGCTCGCTGCTCTCGAAGATCTCGCCCAAGCAGCAAATCCCGAGCACCAAGACGCGCAACGGCTACAATGCCCTGCTCAGCTCCACGCCGGAGCTGCCGCCCCCGATTCCGCCCAAGGGTGGCCAATCCGGCGGACTGGGTGGCCTGGGCCTCACCCTGGGCTCCGGGAACGGGGGCAAGCTGCTGGACCTGGTGGGCGGCATGGTGCAGCGCAGCTTGTCGCGCAGTTCGTCGGAGCACAGTGAGAAATCGCCGAGTAAACTGGCTGTTTCTGGCGGAGATTTGTGTGCCGGCACCGTGGATGTGGTGGCCTCAGCCGTGGCAGCCACCTCGGCAGTGGTGGCCAGCGTCACGCCCGCGATGGGAAGTCCCGGCAACGGTGGCGGATCCGAGAGATCCGCGGGCGGCAACAATTCCGGTGGCGCCGGGGGAATCAAGCTGGTCGAGCCGGAGTCGGGAGCCCTCAATGGCGGAACCATTGTGCCAGTGGGCACAGGATCGGGATCGGGATCTGGACCGGGATCTGGATCGGGATCGGGATCGGGTGGCAATGGCACCGTGGTGGCCAACAACAGCAGCGCCAACAACAACGTCGGCAACAGCAACAACAGCAACAGCGGCAGCAACAGCAACAGTGGCGAGAAAAAAGTGAAAAAGAGTAAGAGCAAAGAAGGTAAATGCGTTGGGTTTATCCTTCGTTCGATTGTTCCTTTAACCGTATAACCGTATAACCATATTTGCATATTTGCATATTTGCATATATATATATATATATATAATTGTATACTCTTGTGGCCTGCCATGTTGTCGGTATGCATTGATGTTGTCGTTGTCAATTGTCGCAACGAATCGCTAAAATTTCGAAAGCGTAGCAGAGCAAATTCAAAATTCAAAGTTGGCAGCGTAATGTGTAAATTGATTATCCTATATGCAATTCTTGATCCAGATAATCCGTATTAATCGTATATATATTTACCTATCATTTCTCTGTATTCTTTCGCATATTTATTTGCGTATTTTTGCATGCGTCGTTCGTTCGTTCAACCAAATCAAAACCAAACTCTACTCTTCATTTTACTGTGTCTGTGTGTGTGTACAATACTTTGTAAGATAAAATTCCATTATGTACTAGTATTTAAGATCCAACACTAACAAGATAACACGAAACAAGGAATAATCTGATAGGAGTGATTTAGGGTTTTTGATAAGCAACGTATTTTCCTACTCTAGACGGTATATTGTATATAGTTCCGATCTCAATAATTAGTCCTTCTGTCTGTTTTTCAACAATTTATTTTGTTGTCTCCAAATTTATAAACTAGAACTATAACGAAAATCTATAAAATGTTCATTGATTATGTAAGTAAACTGAAACTGGGGTTTAAACGGTTTTATCCTTTACATTTTTAAGCCATCAATGTTTTTAAAGTACATTTTATAAAATAGGTCGATTTTATTACAAATTTGATGGTTTTGTTTCAGTTAAACTTTACTATTCAAAAATTTGTTGTAAACCTTTTGGTCAAGTAAATGTGTATTCTAACTGCAAAATTAAGAAAGGAGCATTCCATAATAAACTTAACCTGAGGTTGGCCTTCTAAACTTTTTGAAATATATTGTATAGGAAAATGATTACATGTGAAGGGATCAAAAAATCGCAAAAAATTGGCTTGTAATCTAAATGTATCTGTAATTTTTCGTTTGGCGGTCAAACTTTAGGCTAACTTAAAGGATATGAAAACATGATTTTGATAGATAGCTGACCCACACATGCACGTACACTGACCAACCTATACTCCACATGTACTCTATGATTCCCAAAGTCTTTCCAACCGACCTCCTAACCGGGTTCTCCCTTCTCCATTCTCCACTCTCCATCTTCTCCATCTCACCAACTGCAGGCGGTGCAGTGCTCATCGAGGGCGTACTCTTCAGGGCCAAGTACTTGGGCTCCACGCAGCTGGTCTGCGAGGGTCAGCCCACGAAGTCGACGCGGATGATGCAGGCCGAGGAAGCCGTTTCCAGGATCAAGGTAAGCTTCCTTCGGGCACCTCCTGACAAGAGACATCCAATAATGCTCGCCCGACTCGATCGATTGCTTCGATCAGCTTGCGTTTTAACTAGTGCTATGATCCGTTCTAATTTGTAGTGGGTAGAAATACGTCAGTCCTATTAAAGAGCAAGATCAGAGGTTGTCACAGTTTCTACATATTTACATTTAGATTTGTAAAGAATACTATTATCTAACTCTTCTTTTCTAAATATTATACAAATGTTAAGGGTACAATGTCTATTCATTGTATTTTTTAACGTTATCAGAATAATAAATGAAGTTTGATTAAGAATTTTAAACTCAGATTCTAATTATAACATTTCCATTACATTTGTGACAATCCCTTGAACTGCTTTCCTTTACCCTTTTGCACTAATAAACAAAATTAGCAGCTATTTTTGATTCCCGCTCAATCGCTCTGATCTCCGATTTTTGATTTAACACTCCGCACCCGACCCGTCCCGACATTTCCGCTTTCCGATCAACACCACCTGCCATCCACAAACCCCCCTGAAAACGACCTTGTGCTAAGCTGATTGAAAGACCGACCTCAAGAGCAAAAATAATCAAACAAAATAAGGAAAACAAGGAAAAATAAAACAATTCATTAACTTTTTACTGTTATATTTTCATGCATCACTTCCTCCACATCAAATGCTCCGCGACGACCAACCACGCTAACTAAACCACGTATCGCCATGCAAATAATAAAAAAAAATAAAATAAAAATAAAAATAAAAACGCATAATAGGCGCTGGTAAGTAATGGAAACACTAGCTATTCCCACTAAATCCTGAACCAACCACCTTCGGAAAAACCCCCCACCCAACCAACCAACCACCCACCTCTGGTTTGCCTGATTTGCCTTGAATTAAATTGGATCGAAGACATTTGGCCCGCTGTAATTCTTGTGTTACCAAAAGCGAAGCTTGTCCCCTGAATATCCCGCCAAATCCCAGTTCCACACAACCCTAAATACTTGACAAGGATTAGTAATTAGTAATTGACCAATGTAAACCACTTTTTAGGCCCCCGATGGCGATGTGCAGCCCAGCACGGAGGTGGATCTGTTCATTTCGACGGAGAAGATCATGGTTCTGAACACGGACCTCAAGGAGATCATGATGGACCACGCCCTGCGCACCATCTCCTATATCGCCGACATCGGCGATCTGGTGGTCCTAATGGCCCGACGTCGCTTCGTTCCCCAGGACATCGATGATGCCCCCAAGCCGAATCGCACCCCGAAGATGATATGCCATGTGTTCGAGAGCGATGAGGCGCAATTTATTGCCCAATCGATTGGCCAGGCCTTCCAGGTGGCCTACATGGAGTTCCTCAAGGCCAATGGCATCGAGGACCATCGGTTCGTCAAGGAGATGGACTACCAGGAGGTGCTCAACAGCCAGGAGATCTTCGGCGACGAGCTGGAGATCTTCGCCAAGAAGGAGCTGCAAAAGGAGGTGGTGGTGCCGAAGGCCAAGGGCGAGATCCTGGGCGTGGTGATCGTGGAGAGCGGCTGGGGATCCATGCTGCCCACCGTGGTGATTGCCAACCTCATGAGTTCCGGGGCTGCCGCGCGATGCGGCCAGCTCAATATCGGCGACCAGCTGATAGCCATCAACGGACTGAGCCTCGTGGGCCTGCCACTGTCCACCTGCCAGACGTACATCAAGAACACCAAGAACCAGACGGTGGTCAAGTTCACCGTGGTGCCCTGCGCCCCCGTCGTCGAGGTGAAGATCAAGCGGCCGGAGACCAAGTACCAGCTCGGATTCAGCGTCCAGAACGGAGTGGTGAGTTGGGAGTTTCATGAGCAAGCGTTTCTAAAAGGGCTTTAACTAACACATACCAAAATTAGCCCACCTAAATAGAGGCGACTCATGGGTGTCAGCAAATGTATGTTTGAATACATATCCATTAAAAATATCACTTGTAAAACCTTCATTTTGTTGGCTTACAAACTAACTGAGCAACTTAAACTATTTCCTTATTTCGTTCTCAACTGAAAACTTTATATTATTTTTTCGAAAAAAGTTTCTTGTTTTAAAAAAACAAACCAATGGCCAAACCTAAACTTTTATTCACTAATAAAGCATGTGAGTCGATTTCTAGTGCTTTTGTGTACGTAATTTGTGTTTAATTTAAACAACATCAATAAGTTTAGAAGGTTTCAGATGGAAGTAAGATGTTAAAATTGCTTAGAGATATTTTTAGGCCATAGTGCAACGCCTGAAACTTAAATTAAAATATGTTGGCTTTTAAATAAGCTTATTGTTCACTAAAAGCTACCATATTGAACAATGTGAGTATGGTTACCCAAATGTAGACTTTTATTAATCATAAGGTGTAGGCATCAAATGTCTGTTACTCTATACAGGATGTCTTACTAAGTCGTAGGTATACATTTTGTATTAAAGAAACTCCAATTAATTATTTAATTTAATTTAATTTCACTAATCAGGTGCATCTTCTTCTCTTGCAGATCTGCAGCCTGCTGCGTGGCGGCATTGCGGAGCGGGGTGGTGTTCGTGTGGGCCATCGCATCATCGAGATAAACAACCAGAGTGTGGTGGCTGTGCCCCACGAGAAGATCGTTAACTTGCTGGCCACATCCGTGGGAGAGGTATGAAGGCATAGACTGAAATATAATTTATGATATCTTATCTAATTGCCCATCCACACATTCCAGATACTCATGAAGACGATGCCCACTTCCATGTTCCGCCTGCTCACTGGTCAGGAAAATCCCATATATATTTAAGCCTGCGGGAGGATAATAAACGGCGATTAATTGTTAACTATAAAAAACCTTACAAGGATATTACGATATTTAGTATATATATATACCTTTACATATAGAGAAAAAAGAGAGAGAGAGAGAGAGAGAGAAGGGGAGTAAATATATATATGTATATGCGTGTGTACCTATATATATATATATATACATACTTAACATATATTACACACGGGTGTATCGATTTTTTTTTGTGAGTAAACTAGACAAAGTTCGATCGGAGGCGAGTTAAGAGCAGCTACTACGACAAATAAGAGGAAGCGATAACTAACATGGCACGCCTTTTTGCAAAGCTTAGTAATAATAGTTAATAATGTGTGTGAGATCGGGCCATCGGCCAGGACATACATACATATATATAAAATATATATATATATATACATGAACACAATGACCTTTTTGCGAAAACGTCCTTAGCTTAGTTGAACGGCGACATTAGTCAGAGAATACTGCAGCTAGTTACGCCCCCATATATTTGCTTATCCAAACTTATTGTAAAAACCAAATGAAAACAAACACCATAGCACAAGGCAGCAACTCAAGACCCAAACGGGATTCGAATACAGACAGGAGACAGGCAGCTCTTTTGATATAGTATATATAATCTACACACACTATATAGCACCACCTCGATATATTTATATAACAAAATACAGAGGGCGGATGAATAGAAAGCTTAGGCCAGATAGGAAATGGAAACGGAAACGGAAATGGAAATGGGATTGTTTATTGTAACTGCAGCGTTTCGTTTTCTACTCGCACCCATAGCCGAGAATTTTGATAGTTATTTAACGGATATAGCCAGATCGTAATGTATGCATCGTGTAAATTAAGGAGCGCTTCACAACTACATACAAATACATACATACCCCCATAGAGGATTTAGTTTAGCAGACTAACACTCACACTCACACTTACACTCACTTAGACGCTTCGTTTTCAACCATCTTCGTCCAAAAATTGTGCTACTACTCGTTAACAAGTTGATAGATATAGAGAGGGAATAGAAAAGGATAACCGAAGGGAAAAGAAAGAGAGGAAAGACCGGCGGGGAAGAGAGGAACAGAGTTAGACGACCCACGTTATAAGCCATAAGGTAGAGGGATTTAAATGGAGTCGGACTAGAAACAGGCAAGCTTGCAACAACGTATGTATGTACATCTAGGATCGCATTATAGAGTTATAACTGTAGACCAGACTCGAACAGATAGAGACGGCAACAGGAACAGAATTAGAGATAGACAGAGAGGGAGAATTGCATTTCTTTGAGTGTATATGTATGTGTAAAATACTCGCTATTTGTCCCAAAAAACGCAATCCACAAGCAACCGGCATTCAGCAGTCACTAAGATGAACTATTATTAACTACGAGTACGATTTAATTATTTAATGACAACGGGGCATTTGCTTGATGTTTGTGAATTGAACGACTTTTTGGACGCATTTCCGCTGCTTGGCACGGGCCACGCCCACGCCCACCAAAAACCAAAACAAAATTACCAAAAACATAAAACAAAACTGCTTCTGCAAACCAAAGAGATGAATGAAAAGCGAAACAAATGCATACAACAACTAATAATTAATGAATTGTTTTTTTTTTTTTGGTGTACATTATTTATATGGAATGTGAAATTGCATAACAAATTTAATGAATATATTGAGTATTTATTAAAACGGGCTAATTGCATAGAAATTATATAGGAACGATCATACCAATGATTATTTGTAAAGGCAAATTAAACCCAAAACCGAAAACAGAATGAATAAATAAAAGAATATATAATCACATGCGTAAACAGAAGTATAAAACCAAAAATTGAGCATAATAAACATAAAATGGAAAAAAAGTCTTACTGAGCTGTATTTTTTTAAGGTTATTCAAATCTTTTGGAAGGGGTGGTGAAGATTTAAAATAAAGAAATCATTAAAAACAGTGTTACAGAAAAAAGTACTGCAACATTTTATATTATTTGCAGAATTTTTTGAACTTAAAAAGTGACTATAACATCGATATTTAAAACATTCATTCTTTTGGATGTGTATGGGAAGCATATTCTTGATTTTTCGGTTTTTAAATAGAAAACCTGGTAAATAGTGGTCGAATGCTGGATGCCATACCTTGTTGAATTCGTTGTAAAATTTCCAATCAAGTGGCATTCACAGCTAAAAAATTTTATTTTTTGAATAAAATCTGGAAAAATTAGCTAGATTTTTCGGTTTTTAAATCAAAACCCTTGAAAATAGTGATCGAATGTTGGAATGCCATACCTCGTTAAATGCGTTACCAAATTTCCAACCAAGTTGCATTTACAAAGTATCACTTAATGTTCTTAAAATGTTCGCAAAAAAACCTGAAATCATTCTTTTCATTTAGTAATACGTTTTGTAGCACATACGCAATGACTAGAGTGACATTGACAATGTTGATAACATTCGCATACTTTCGTGACCCATTATTATATTGTAGATAAGGTATAAGCTCGGGTACACAAAAATTTGAAAACGCAAAAAGTGTTATGTTTAATTTGCTTTTTATTTATTTATCGTAATTAAATTGAATTTGAAAAATTAATTGAGGTAGATCCAATTTCGACTCGTCGAGTTAAGTATTTGATTCCATCCTATCATATCATATATATATATATATATATATATATATATAACTATATATATATATAACTCTCACCATTGCCACTTCCACTACCACTTCCGTCATAGTCAAACATTAAGTCCTTTTTTTCTTTAATGAAATTTTGAATTTGCTTATTTTTCTGATTTATCAGAAGTTCCATGCTTTTGATTTCCGCATCTTTTCTATTATTAAAAATATTTCCAATTAATATTTGCGCATTTTTTTGATGTATAAGATCATCTTTGATTTTAATTTGGTCATCTTTTGTTTTTATAAGATCTGCTTGGATTTTAAGTTGGCTTTTGAGTTTGTTGTTGGCATCAGTTGCTATTTTAAGCTGTGCAAAATGACAAATTAATTGTTGCAAGGGAAAAGGACATAAGCCTACTATACATACCGCCCTAAATTGTTCTTTCGATGCGATTAATCTCGTCTTGATCGTACCAGATTCTGGGCGAGTCTGGAGTGCCAGAAATTGGGCACCCAGCTCGGTCTTTATCTCCTGAAGTCCCTTCTGAAGACCCTTCTGAAGTCCCACCCAAAGATCCTCGTGCGACACCATTTTCCCGCAGGAGTCCTTTAAAACTGACTGCCCAGCCTCGATTCTGTCCAAACTGTGCCGGATATTTCGGGAATGGTCAAAAAGAGGGTTGAGTGCGGCCAGGCAAAAGGCGCCACACTGCCTTGGACCATCCTGACCCTGAGTATTAACAAGTTGTCCTTGCAATAACAGGAAACAGAATACAATTGATGCCAGCCCTAGCATTTTGATTTAATTCAAACGAACGAATAGAAGTATGAGAAGGAACTGAAATTTGTTGAAGACAAATAAGTGTACGGCTATCAAAATATAAATCTGTACAGAGCATCACATAAATTATTCAAGTTATTACCTCTCCTTTCCCTTGGAATTAACGTATAAATTTATATATATATTTATAGAAATAATATTACTTATCAAGTTATAACAAAATTTCCAATTAAGTGGCGCTGATTAAATTGTTTCTTTTTTATTTTCCATTTTGTTTGTATTATTGCTTTTTTTATTAATTGCTGCATTTGTTTGGACTAAAGAATTAATTAATTAATGATATTTATGTCTCGTTAACACTAGCAGCAGGTTATATTAAATCAACAAATAAAATTGATTTAATTAAATTAAATTACATAAAATATTGTTGGATGACTATTCTCCTTGGTCTGCTTTTGGTTCTGTACTTGTAAATATTTCTGCTGTTGATAATTTCTTGAGTGATTAGAATTCGATCGGAATTTCACATGCCTGCACTGTTGATAACTCTTAACCTTACATAAATTTGGTTCTAAAGTCATTGCTGGTTCATATATTTTTATAAAACAACGTTTTTAATTAGGTTTCATCACAATTAAACTGTGAACCTGACTTTGTTCGGACTTGCAAGTTTCGTCTGAATATTTCGCCACACTCCTTAGCTATCTATGGATATAGATATATATGCTGATCCAGAAATTGGCATGCAACTCCAACATTACTTTAAATTTAATTTATTTAATTTCTCTTTTCTTTTGTTGCTGCGTTTTTGGACTTAAGATCACACTTAATTCATAATAATTACTCGTAAACATATTAATCATAGGTTATATCAAATCAACAAATAAGTATATTAAATGGGAATAATAATACAAACAATAAACGGTTTTGCTTTCTCTGCTTTTGCACAATCGTTCTGCTGTTGATAATTTATTGGTTTTCTAGAATTGCCGTATAATATATAATAGTTGAATAGATTGTTGGTATTGGCTTGTGGTTGATAGTTGTTGGTGTACGATTTGCTGCTCTTGTGGTTTAGCTGATATTTATATTGAATCTCACGAGTTTCCTTGGTGTTTCAATTGATGGTATTTGTTCTGTTGCAAAATCCCAACATGCCTCCGCTATCAAATGTGGATGTGTTGTGACAAGATTGTCCCAGCTGGATGTTTTCTTCACATCGATGGCATTTGTTTTTAGGAATTCTATAGTTTGTGCTTTCAGTCGATAGGCACTGTATAGATCAGCTAGTATAAGTGTGTCGACCGCGTTTTCCACAGAAAGTCTGAGGCTCAGCGCCACCTCGCAAATCGCCTTCAGCTTATGAAGAAGCTGCCAGCAGATTCCCAGCCATTTTCTCCAGATCGAGCGCCTTGCCCGTGTAGATGTATAGAAGCATTTCTTCAAGGACCTCATAGTTTACATCGACTATATCGACTCGGATCAGCCTTCGCTCCTCCATATCGTGCTCCAGCATGGCCGCGAAGACAGAACAGCACGACGAGGTACTCTCCGGTGAAGTTCACGCAATCCAATGCGACGCTGACCTTGCAGAGAAGGGTCAGCTTATCCTCCGGCTTCGTCATCCAGGAAGTCGAAGCGGATGAATCTTCTCAAACCCCAACCTTTGCCCGGCATTATAGGTAGAAACAAATTGTCCAGGCATTCTTTAGCCCAAAAGTATGCAGTATTAAATGTTAGTTTAACTGGCTATTTACAAAATAATAATACAGTAGAATCCGGTCATAACGACTCCGCTTATAGTGTTCGTTCGGTTATATGATACAATCTTATACAAGACGCACTGTCTTCCGGGTATAACGACGTAAAATCGCCGGTCACTTAAAAGTCGCTATAACCGGATTCTACTGTATTTAAATAATATAATATAAATGTAAATACTAGTAAATTAAGAATAACAAGAAAGGAAAGCTAACTTCGGACGGAGCCGAAGTTGATATACCCTTGCAGAATATTCTGTAAATTATATTCTTCAAAATTATTCATATGATGTATTCTTAATACTCATAAAAAGTCCCAAATTCCTAACTTTAAAAACACCAAAGTTATGGCATTTCCAATCGTTCAGTTATATGACAGCTATAGGATATAGTCGGCCGATCCTTATGAAATTTGGTTTGGACTGATTGGCCAAATATAAAGCCCATAGAAAATCCCAACTTCCTATCTTTACAAACACCAAAGTTATGGCATTTCCGATCAATCAGTTATATGGCAGCTATAGGATATAGTCGTCCGATCCCGTTCCGACTTATATACTGCGTGCAAAGAAAATAAGGGTGTGTGTAAAGTTTCAATTCGATATCTTTATAACTGAGAGACTAGTTCCCGTAGAAACAGACAGACGGACATGCTTATATCAACTCAGGAGGTGATCCTGATCAAGAATATATATACTTTATAGGGTCGGAGATGAGATACCCTCTGCAAGGGTATAATAATAATAATAGAGAAATATTTTTTTTCGTGGGTGTAATGTGAAAATCCGTTGTATACTTACAATATTTGATCGCACCAAAAATATTTATTTAATAAATTAATAAATAAATACTTAGCCTTTAAACTTTAAACAATCCAATTAAATTTTTCCAATTAATACGCTTTTGACCTTAGGGTTATTGTGTTTGGAAATAATGTTTATTGATGAATACTTTTTACTTGCATTGTTTCATTTGCTTACTTTGTATCATTTTATACATGCAATTGTAAGAAATTGTTTCCCAACTTCTTTTTAAAGTTCATTCTTTCAATTTTGGCTATGGCAAAGTGTATATCTATATGTATATGCATCTATATATATTTGTGTATATAAGTAATATGTTCACGGTCATTTAATCAGTACACACAACAATCAAAACTGGATTTTTATGACAAACAAGTTTCCCATTAATGTTTTTTCTTATTCGCATGTTTTTCACTATATGCGTGTGTTTATGTGCATTTTTCCAAAAAAAATAAATGGAGACGCCATTTTTATTTTCGAAAGTCATCGAAATGTAATCGATTGAACTTTGTTTGGTTTCGAACTTTTGACTCTGCGAATGCCTGATAATAGACTGGTTTTTAGAACTTCCATTGTGTTAGAGACAAAAACACCATGGTCTAGTGATTTTATCTTCTGCCGATTCAAAAGTTCTTATGAAGCATTAAAATTTCTCTAAGTTCGCTCTATACGAACCCACTTAACGCCTACGGGATACCATATAAACTATTCTCCATTTTCATGGATCTTCTACATCGTTTTTATACATTTTCTTCGTTTTTAAAGTTTGTGGGGAACGTGAGTGGAGAAACATTTCGATTTGCAGTTGGATGTTTTCAACAGCTACTCAGTTTAAGGGCCTGTAATAATTTAGCTAATTTCTTTAAGTTTTTTTTTTTATTTTAAGATATAGAAGATGTCAACAAAAAAGACGCAAAATGTCAATTCAAAAATATATGTGTATATATGTCACATACATATATACGAATTTTCTTGGGCTTGGGGCTTCGTTTTTGATAAATTTTAACTATTCAAAATAAATGCGACAAAAATTTAATTTAGTTTACAATTCAAAATTTGTTTTTCCCATAGATTTTATCATTTTTGGAGTTTTTTTTGTCGTTTTCAGCAAATGTTGCGCATATGTTTTGGGTTAAATTTCTTATGTGAATTGAGGGTGTGTAAATATTTGAACTATGTTATATATGTAAAAAATCTCATCGTTTGTGTGTTTGTACTTGTTAGAAAATCACGCAGATATGCTGAAATTATCCAACCGAGTCCGAATCAATCAATCAATCTAACCGAAATCCCATCTGAACCAAAGTAATGCCCTTTCAAAGCCCACCCATTATCATCTGTGTCCTTTCTCAGCGTTCCTCCATTTTCCCATTCCCATTCCCATTTTCCATTTCCACAATCCACTGCTGTTTGCTGGCTCTCTTTTCCGCCCAATCTGATCTGTCTTCCTTATCGATATCTCCTGCCTCTGGTGTCCTTCGACTAAGCCTATTACTAGATTTGTTATCGTACATCGAACTTATGTGTCTCCTAATGCTAATATAACTAGCGATTTAATTATGTAGAGATAGATGGAAAGCTTTATGAATATATAGATAATTAGGGGTATAGGAGCGAAACTATAGAAACTTAAACGGAATTTGTATAAATTGCACATAACTTTTACTTAGCCCTTAATAATTACGTCTTATAAACACATTTCTTGATGCCTTTATATGTGTGTCAAGTTGGGGTTTTCTTTGATAAAAAGTTTCACTTAGTTCGATACTCCTCGCGTGTCGAGTGTGTGTGTGTGAGGAGGATATATATATATATATATATATATATAAATATATATAATTTACAATTCTTACTAGGTCTTCACATATATGTATGCACATGTATTTGTATTTGCAATTGGCACATCATTTCGAAAAGAGTCAATCAAATCAAAGTACTCGTGTGTTTTTGTCTAGGTGTATTGCACAAGATGCAGCCCGAAAATAAGCTGAAAATAATAAAGAAACCAAAAATCCAACGAAAATAAAGAACAAAGGAAATTAGTTAACTAAACCATTTACTAAACATTTATTGAAATCAAGTAGTTGTGGTGCACACAAGGCAAAGACAAATCAAACCAACTCAAAAGTTAAACTCGCCTAGAACTAATTGCATTATTTGAATTGGATGATAGTAAGTGTAGGACAAAAAAAAGTAATTGCTTGTGTTTAAATTATAAATCTACAGCTAAGTTAGCGTTACTTGCTGCTTCTTAAGACGCTTCTGCTGCGCAACTTAACTAATCCACTCGGTAATCGGTAATTATACGTGTAATGATAATTGTAAAATGAATAGAAAACATAGTCTTACTAACTAATTCAATAGTATAGGTGTAGGTGAACAAAATTCAATTCGTCGCTCGTCCTCATTTCCCGGCGCGTTTCAAAACACATTCTTGGTGATAAAGTATACAAAAAAAAATAGGTGAAAAACGATTTTCTATTAAGGCAAATTAGGTTAAAGCGCCACATCGCAGTCGCATTATTTGCATTTGCATTAGCAAGTGCAGTGTTTTCTTTCTGTCCTGCCGTCGGTTAAGGTTAAAGTTAAACATAACATAAAGCTGCCAAAGCCAGGTGTGTGTGTGTGATTGTGTGTTTTTTAGATTTGGTGTGTCTAAAAGTAAATCTAAATTCTGTTTTAGTTTTACCAAAATTTGCCACCGCTTTGGCTTACAATTCGTTCAGCATAGTCTGTGTATCCGTTTTACATTTAATTCTATATTAATCATTTCCATTATTACAATTTTCCTTTTTCGATTTTTTTGTTTTTCTTTTTATATTAGCCGCTGCTTTTGCTGGTCGTTTGCGATCCAAGTTCTTAATTGCTTGATCTTGCGTTTGCGCCTGGGATGCCCACAAAAAAATTTCACTAAATTTAATTTACAAAACATTAAAGGATTTCGCCTCCAGAAGCTGATTCATTCACTCCATGTGTGCTCCAAAGTGTGTCGACTTGGACTGAAGTGGGTGTGTGAGGGTCTTAAAATTAATTTAACAGCTTATCGACCTTCCGGGCGCTCCCTTCCATTCCCACTCTCCTTTCGCCACGTTGTGGAGGTGGGAAACTCAAAGGAGCGGGTGTTCGAACATAAGAATTGGTGTTGTTATGCACTAACTCTAGATTAATATAAGCTTTAGTTGTGGTTCTAGTTTCTTTTGTTTGCCCATCTGATTCTACTGCTCCTGCATCTTCATCTTCATCTTGATTTTCATCATCTCATCTCTCATCTTCTTTCTTTGTTGCTGCTGCGTAAACTAGTAAATGCTACAAAATAGGATAAGGTCAGCGGGGCTGGTGGTGGCTCTGGCTGATGGTGCTGCTGCCCTTAGGCAGCCGTATCCACCTCTTCCACAATGTGGTTGGGCGACACTTCGCTGGGTGGTGCTGCTGTTGCTGTTGCTGCGGCTGCCGATGATGCTGTTGCGGGTGCCGTCGAAGTGTTGCTGTTGGCATTGGTATTGCTGCTGCTGGTGATGTTGTTGTTTGCGGGCGCTGCCTTCGACGCCTGGACGGGCACAGCGGCTGGTTGCAGGGGCGTGGCCACCAGGGCGCTCACGGCACTGTACTGGGCGGCCGCGCCCATCGAAACAGCAGCTGTTCCATTGGCGGCGGCCGAGGAGAGGCTATCGGCCGACGAGGCGGTGGCCGGCGTGGCGTAAGGACCGCTCTTCAGCTTGCGCGCCTCCCGCTTCTGCTTGTGTTGCTGCATCACCAGGCGCAGCTGGTCCATCTTCGAGCGGGTCTTCATGTTGGCCAGCTCCACGGTGCACTTTTGGCAAGTGTGCTCGCGCTCTCGCTCTCCCTGTCCCTTTCCCTCATCACGGCGGTAGCGACAGCCGCATCCGTTGGACTGACTGGCCAGGGAACTGGGCGCCTCAGCCTGGCAGCAGCTATGCGACGATGACTTGGAGCTGCCGCCGGTCGCCTTGGAGGCGCTAGTAGAGGAGTGGTAGCTTGGGCAGTCGCGGAAGGAGCAGCTGCCACCGCTTCCGCTGGTCATAGTCGCCGACTGCTGCTGTTGAGCGCGACTGTTGCACTTGGCGCAGTTGTGATGCTTTGATGAGTACTGCAAAGATGATGGGTTGTAAGTACGTTGAAATAACAGATAAATTGGTTGACCACACTTACCATTTTGCTGCGCGATCCGTGATGCATCCCGCTACTGGAGGCCGTCGTCGAGGAGGATCCACTGCCGCCAGATCCCGAACTGGAGCCCGAAACGGATCCAGTGGTCGGGGCCTCGAAGCTGATGCGGGCACCACGTCCGTATTGCGGTGTGGCACTCAGCAGATCGTTGAGAATGTGGATCACGGTTGAGATGTCGCGCTTCGGACGGCCATAGCGGTCCTGCAGCGCCGGATTCAAGGTGCCCGAAAAGGTGCCCGAGAAGATGCCCTTGCCGTGGTTCTTCATTGACTCGATAACGGCACCCGATCCGCTCTTGCGCGGTGCTTCCTCGCCGCCGGCCGCTCCGGCCGAGGCTGCCCCACTGCTGGAGCTGCGGCTGCTGCTCACGACGCCGGCGCCGGATAGATCGATCTTGTTGGTGAACACCTCCTTGGAGAGTTTGCGCAATGTCTGGGTGAGATTTCGCGAGGCCTCGGCGAGGGTCCTGGTATCCGACACACCCAGCAGGGAGTCATCAGTGGCCTCCGCGGTGGTGGTTGTAGCGCCGGTGCTGGCTGGCAGTGCCACCGTGGCCGTTGCAGTGGCCGTTGCCGATGCCGCTGCCGTTGTTGTTGTGGCTGCTGATCCTGCTGCCCCTGCTGCCATGGCCTGCTCCAGCTTGCGACGCGACGAAGAGGAGGAGGAGGAGGACGATGAGGAGGAGGAAGAAGATGAAGAGGACGAGGAAGACGAGGAGGACGAAGACGAGGTTGCGGCAAAGGCGGCTGCGTTAACCGAAGACTGGTTACCGCCGGCGCAGGCGTGATGGTAAAAGTGGCTGCTGCTACTGTGGCCATGTCCGTGTCCGTGTCCGTGACTGCTGTGGCCATGTCCGTGGTAGTGACGGTGCTTGGTCCTGGTGATGCGGTTGTTGCCCGTCTTGTGTAGCATCGAGTTGCCCGAAGAGGTGACGCCTGCACCCGAAGCAGTCGAACGTGCGGCGAATCCGGCATTCGCCCCGCCGCAGCTGGACTCCGGGCACTTGCCGGGTGAGCCGCTGGATCCGGATCTGGCCAGGGGAGTGGGAGCCACCAGAGAAGCCACCGGCTGAGGCACCGGCGGCGTGGGCAGGCGTGTGCACAGACACGAGGTCAACTTGGCGGCTATGGGATCCTGCTGGCAGCCGCCGGCGGTGCAGGCTCCACTGGAAGAGGACGAAGATGAACTGGAGGTGCTGGAGGAGCTGCAGCTGCAACTCGAACTGGAACTGGAATTGGAACTGACGGCAGCCGTTGTGGGCAGGGGAATGTTTTTGATGGCCGTCATCTTGATGGGACTGGAGACGAGATTCGACAGCGACTTGATGGGCGACTGCTCCAGCACAGGTTTGCCCGGACTCGACCCGGAGCCACCGTTGGCCACAGGACGAGCTGTGGCGGCCGCGAAGCTCTTCACGATATTCTGTATGCCGCCCTTGATCAGCAGCTTGGTGAGATCGCTTCCGTTGAGCGGGGACGAACTCTGGGCCTGGCCTGTGCCAGATCCTGCCCCAGCGCCAGATGCCCCGGAGGAGCTGGGTAAATCGCCGTACATCTTGCGCAGCGAGGACATCCCACCACCGCTGCCCGCAGCCACCGCAGAGGCGCTGTGATGATGATGGTGGTGATGGTGATGATGGTGATGGTGGCCATGTCCATGCCCATGTCCATGGCCGTGTCCATGGCCGTGTCCATGTCCGTGACTGTGGCCGTGACCATGGCCATGCCAGTTGGCAGCGTGCAAGCTCGGATGCTGGTGGCTGTGCACGTGGCCATGTCCGATTCGTCCACTGGCTCGCTGGCCAGAGGAGCGGGTTCGGGATGAAGACGACGACGACGAAGACATCGACATCGATGTCGAGGACGATGAGGATGCGGAGGTGGTGGGGCCACCGCCTCCAGTGCTGCCACCTCCTCCCACCGCCAGCACCGCCGACGAAGAGGAGGAGGAGGCGGCGGAGCAGCCAGTGCCAGCTGGCATCGCTGTGGCCGAGGAAGTCGTGGCGGCGGCGGCGGTGGTGGTGGCGGATCCACTAGCACCACCACCGGCGGCTGGGGCCACTGTGGCACCACCGCCCGCCGGATTAACCGTGCTCAGTTGCAGCTGGATGAGCATCATGTGATCGCCGAGGCGCATGCTCAAATTGAGCGGAGTCTTGCCACTAAGAAAGTCATTAACCTGCGAGTCGTTAAGTGATTCCAGCGCTTGCATAACCGTGTTCTCCGGACGCTGAGCCTGCAAAACGAAAGGAAGAATAGTGGGGTTAGAGTTGGACTTACTTTGGAGGAACTTAATTTTGGTACAAGCCATTTTTTGCCTTATTAAAGTACTCTAATTTTTAACTTTCACTCTCTGTTTTACAATTCAATTAATTTATTTGCCATATCTTTTCAAATAAACGTTTAATATTTATTCAAATATATATATGTATGTATATAATTATTACAGACGAACATTTATAATATAAGCATCCATCTGTTACCAATAAAACCAAAAAAAAATTAATAAAGGAGACTTCATTTCATTTATTTAAACTTTCTTATGCCAATAAATCTAGTTCGACTCACAGAGACCTTAAGTTCCAAAGTTGAGTTATGAAAGTTCAGCTGCCCTATAATTTTGCTATTTTACTTTTAAATCCATATTTAATCTAAGCCTAATTGTAACGCTTAGTTTACAATTATTTTAGTTTAGTTGAGACATAAAGAAGTGTCCCCCGATTTATCAGAGTTACATAAAGAAATACCGCATTCCAACCGGATGAATTGAGCTCGGCATTGCCTCCTCCTATCGACCTAGACCAACTATTTACGAACCCCTTTTCAGAACGTATTATTTCTGGCGTTGTTGTTACTCTACGTGATTCAATGCGACGACGCCTTTGTGTTCCGTTCAAATATTTGCAAAAACCCAGGCGTTAAAGTCAACGCCTCAAGTTGCGTCACAGAGGGAAAATAAAGGGTTTAAAAAAAGTTTTTCCAAGAATAAACTTCTAAACCGATATAGAACAAGTGAAACGAAAAGTAATTGTACAAAATTAAGAGCAGCAAACAAAAGGCAATATATAAGCATATACTGCGACTCGGTTTGAAGTTTGATTTTTTTGTTTTTAGAGGTCTGGGTCTGGGTTAATTAATCATTTCCATTGCATATGCACGTACAATTGCGGTCAACAAATTAGTAGTGTGATTTGTTTCGAGTTGTTTTGTGTGTAGTAACATAAATTGAATGCGATTCCAAAAAATGTAAATTTTATAATATTATGAGTTCATTTACATATTTTGCTATAATATGAATAGTAAAAGAATTAATAATTTGCCAGCTAAAGTGCAAAACAATTTTTTAAGTTGAATAATTTTGTTCTTCTTTTGTCGACTTAACTTGGGATCGAGTTTTTAAATTATATCGTTTCATCCAATCATGCTGCAATTGCCCTTTTTAAATTGCTATATTTTTGACACAAACTGTTTGCTGCCAGCAAGTGAGTAACAGCATGCGAAAGCGGGGCGGAAGCGGGGTTCATGTTTTAATTTTTATTGACTCTGCTCTGACACAGTGACCCAATAATATTCAAATGAAGTCGGCGACAAAAGCTCGCTTCAATTTCAGCCTCAACTCAACTCAACTCAACCGAACTGAACTGCGGATGGATACCACACCAAGACGATAATGATGATGAGCGGATCATGATGACGCTGCCTACTTTCCCTTTGCCATTTGACGCACCGTGGACCTTATGCAACCTTGTGAAGTTACCCTCCCAAAAAGATATATGAAAAGCTCGGCCTAGCAACCAAAAACCTAAAATGTAAAAGAAATGGAGGCAGTCAAAAAAAAAAAAAAAAAAAAAAAAGCGACTTGGAGTCGAGCCTATTTGTTGACGTTGTTGTTACTCATGGCTGATGTTGCTGCTGTTAAGTGTACCAAGGTCAACTGACGTCGCACGCAGCTTACGTCATCAGCAAGCCAACAGTCACAGCGAAATCGAAATTTTAAAATTTAACCCAAGAGCAACACCAAAAAAAACAGCAACAACAACAGCAGCAACAGCAGTAGCAATAACAATAACAACAAGCGCAACAAAGGCAGTCAATGCTGTAATTTATTAACTTTGTGCAAATTGACTCTCTTTTTTGTATTTATTTGGCTGTCAGGGAAAACGTTTTTTGGTCAACCGGTTTCGTGGCTTACCACTCAAGTAACTAATACATCATAGTCGAAGCCCTACATTCCGTTCACACACAAAATGCAGAAGATTTAGTTTTCCAAATATTTTGCTGCGGTAAAATAAGTTGAAATTTTAAAAACTTTAAATATTTCTGGAATTAGCTAACGGGTTTCTACAAATTTTCTCGAATTTTAATATAATATAATACCAATATTGGTCAACATATTAAAGCATTAAAGCAATTGTTGTTCAGTTCGATGACAATCTGATAGCGAAATACAGTTTTATTTGTTTTAAGCTCACTGTTAAACTTTTCTTACACGAACTTTCACAAAATGAAGTCTCTAGTTTTATGGACAATATTTGCAATACCTCTTTAATTAATTAATAGATAGAGTGGGTTCATATAACAAGTAGCTTTAATTATCTTGAGTATATGCTTACAATTTAAATCGTATCTAAACTTTTAGTTATAGTTCACATTAGGCTAAAAAAGGAAAGGGACGAAACTTTCAAAGTCTATTCTTAAGTATCGATCACATTGATTTGAATGTTCTAGGCATATTTAAGTAATAAAAAAATCAATTTTGCATAACTTTTGTAACTCCGTCATCTTTTATCGGGGCGAGGCGACGCGCACTTGAAAAAAACCCAAGTGCGTACTACAAAGAAAAAAATATTTGTACATTTTGGGGACAAAGCAATTTTTTGCGTTAGTTTTGCGCCGGCTATCTTTGCAAACGTGCGTGTGTGTGTGTTTGTTTGTTTGCTGACCATGAAATTATTTTTATTGCGTAGCGTTTTCCATGGAAGTTTCGCATGCGAGTGGTGGACCGGACCGCTCCCCACACACCACACACCACCCACCCACCGCCACTCCCCCCTTTGCCCAAGAAGCAGCACTTCACAATGTGTAACAAATTAAATTGGCCAAACTGCGCGATGCCGCCTAGCGCTTTTTGATAAGACCACTTGTTGGTATATTAGTTGGCGTATTCTTTTTTTTTTTTTTTTTGTTGGGCCTTTTTGTTTTATAGTGCCAGGCGGGACAAAGACAAAGACCGGCGCCAGCGATGACGCCCTGTTTGCCTCCATTATCTGAACGGGCTCCGTCAACTGCAGCAGCAGTTAAAAAAAAAAAAAAAGAAAATAGAGAAACAAAAAACTTGCGGGCGGTGACAGTTTTGCCGACACTGGACTTGACCACGTAACCCGTTTTATGACTTGCCAATTTGTGAGGCTTTAAAATTGAGCTATCGCAAGGCAAATGCAATAGTTTTCCTTACACACATTTTTTTTTACAAGAGTGTGTTATTTGCTGGGACTTGAATAAGTGGAATTAAAGCTCTGCTTCCTATTTGTCTCGCGAAAGGGGCTTCCCCGAATCTGCTTAATGATGGGAAACTTTCATGCACATTCAGGTATTGACTCAAAACGAAAAAAAAAAAAAAATGTCCGAAAAAATGTTTTGGCTGCCTATTATATTTATATTCGTATATTATAAATTCAAATAAAGAGAAAAAAAATTCGGGACGTCAATTATGTATTTAGGACTTGTAAGAAGATAGTTATTTGATATTTTTGTTATTATTAATTTTAGAAATAAATAAACGTTTTCTAGAGAAGCACAGGTCAAAACTCTTCTCCTTTTTGTTTTTTAATCGTTAATCATATCGAAGTCGGGCTGTAAACAGCTTGAGGCGCCAGTGTAAATATTTACTTAGTTTGATTAGAGCAAATTGCAATAAAGAAATCCGCAAAACAACAACAGCAGCAGGTGATTTCCTTTGCCAATTATTACTCATGCCCAACGGCAATTAAAGCGAAACTAATAATAACAATTTGTAAATGGCAAAAAGCAACTCTGGAATTGCCAATAGATTCCACAGAAATGATAAATATAAATTAATATGCACATATAAATAAAAAATCTCTATAGGTGGAGGAAAAGGTAAATTACTTTCGGTTAATCAGGGGAATGTTATAAACAGAATGCGAATTGAGATCGGAATTTGAATCTTTATCGGAGTTTGGAATCTCAATGATACCTCACAGTCATCGATGATTTTTATAAAGATATTTAAGTAGATCTGCCACTTCCGTTCCATATTTTACAGCACTGTTAAGGCCTACGATAAACCGGATTCACGGAAATCAAGTGAGTAAAGCCAAGTAAGTTCTTGCATTTCCGTTCACTCCGTTAAGTTATGAACAAGAATGCACCACTTGTTGACACATCGCGATGTTCAAGTAGATAATAACTGCGATGACGAAAGACGAGAAAGTAATCTTAATGGACGACGACCGATGATGAAGATGTTTGGAGCGAAGCAGATGATAAAGCTGTCTGACACCGAGATATTGATATTGAAGCACAGGTTGCTGAAGTTAATTCCGATTCGATGACAGCACTAATTAATGAAGATTTAAATTCAGGTAATGACCAAGAAGGTTTGACATTCAAAAATAAACGTATACAAGAAATTTATAATTAAAAGTATGATCAAAGTGTTGATAAATTTTTGAAAAGGTTGCTTTTTAGGATTCACCGCAAGAGTGATTAAATAGTGCAACTAAAAAAATGAGATATTGCAGAAAATGAAAAAGTGCACGATGATGGCACACTCTAAATAAAGATCTCTATAAGAACTCTGATAAAAAGAAGGTCTCGACAATGAGGCATCCACAACATTCCCGATAGCACTCTGCACATTCCGTAGTCAAGTGAGTTTCGAGATAAGTTCTCCGAATTCATTGAAGAAAAACAGATAGACGGGGATGGGCGATGGTTCGTTTAAAGTTCCCCAGACAAAGACGAATAGAACTGGTTAATAACCTGTCCCCATGGCTTCGGCTTCTTTGGCATCTGTTGCTCATTCTTGGGCATTTCCTTAGCCATTTTTCGTTCCGTTGCGTTTTGTTTCTTTATTTTCTGTTTTTCTTTTTTGGCCAAACATACAAAGGACGCATAAATTCGATTGGTCACACCCATGCAACCCAGCCAGTTCATATTGTTGTCATCATTTTGGCTGTGGTGGGCGCTATATCTGATATATATCCATATCAT